TCCACCTACCCAATTTAGTACGAGGCCTTATGGGGAGGACACCCAAGAGTAAAACCGTGCGGGCTTGGCCCAAAACGGACAATATCGTACTAATTGAGCGGCCCGGTTTGACAGGTATGGATCAAAATTGGAGGTGGAGCAGAGGAGGGACTGAAGCAGGGTTCAGGGCATGGATCACAAAAGGAATTGGGGTTTGGGCATTTCAACCACTTGATTCTTTCTCCCATCTACTTGCTGCCTTTTTTTTACTTTTTGTTGGCAATTGGGCAAGGACATGAAGGATAAATGATGGCAACAATGGCGACCAAGGATTTGGGGTTTGGATTAGCGGCGCCCGAAGAGCTTCCTGGAGATGGGAGAGAGGGCGACTTGAAAAGTCGGATTGGGACTAGGAGGAGAGGGTGCGGTGGATTCAGTTTGTATTGCTGCGACGATTTGGCTATGGGACGACGAGCCAATTTGAAGATTTTGGGTGCGATTAAAGAAAGGAAAAGAAAAATAAATGAAAGAATATATATTTTTAAAAGTAAATTATGACGTGACGGCTATGAGGCAAGTGAGAATGAGTTGTCGCTGATGTGTGTTTTTTTATTTTTTTTCTCTTTTAATCCACATCAGTTAGTGGGGTCAGAAAAACGCCAACTAAGCATTCACCGTTAGTCCAGTCCAATGCAGTCAAAAGCGCGATTCTACCTAGAAGCGGAAAATGGGTAAAATCGTAAACCGTAGAATCAAAGCGTAAAAACGTAAGTTTTTGACGCATACTGTAAAATAACGGAAAATGTGTTAAGTACGACATATACTATGTAAACTATGAGTGCACATAGTTCAGATAAGTTAATAAATACCTGTAATTCATGTCTAAAGTTGAGAAACTCATAACATTTTAACAATAAGTTCATAAACATATATCTTAACCATAAGCTAACTTCCTAAGCTAGTGATTTTGGGAAAGGCCTAGTTGGTGAATTAGATTACTCTATTGAAACTAAGAATGCACCCAAATACTTGATATGTATCTTTTAATCTTAAATATATCATATTTTTTGTGATTTACCTGAAAAATATAAATATTTTCGTGAATAGAATACTCCTTTAGTGAACTAGAAGCGTAAAAGCGTAAAGCGTTGTGGTGAACCAAAAGCGTAAAAGCGTAAGCTTTTAAGCTTTAAAGCGCATTTCAGTCCCGATTTTATACACTTAAGATTTTATATGGAAACGAAAGCGTTTTAGTGTTCTAGAAACGTAAAACCGTAAGTTTTTAAGTTTTAAAGCGCGATTTTGACTGCATTGGTCCAGTCATCCCTTTAACTGACGGAGTTAACGGAGTGGACGAAAATGGCTATTTCGTGTATTTCGATAGATGTGGCTATATTTGTCACCAACCTGATAGTTGTGGCTATGGAAGTGTATTTTGCCAAAATTATAAAGTTAATGGGCACTAAAAAACATAAACTACAAGGTACTCTTTCGCACCACCAGTGCACAATACTAAAAATGGAACCACCTACGTTAAGAGTAGGGATGACAACAAAACCCGAACCCACGGGTACCCATCCGACCCAATCCGGTCAACGCGGGTAAAATCCGTGTTGACGGGTTTTGGGCCGGGTTTGGGTTTAAACCCGTTCACTATTCACCGGGTTGGGTTTGGGTAAACCCGGCCCGTGGGTACCCGCCCACTCATATAATTAATTATTTCGGTATATTTAATATTCTAAACAACTATTCTTATTTATGTTTGTGGAGACATGCCTAATTTTTTTTTAATTGTGTAGAATGAAGTTGATGTTATGGAGTGGAGAGTAAAGAAACTTAATTGAAAGAAAGAAGCTTTCAATTAAACATGTTATTTATGGATAATTTGTGATTTGCTTCAATTTTCTTGAGTTTTCTAAATTGGTGTTGAACAATTTGTATAGTTAATTTGTGATTTGCTTGAATTTTCTAGAATGGTGTTTTATATATGGATAATTTGTATTGAGAGATTGATATCTGACTTTAATTTTCATAAGAACTTGTAATTGTAAATTTTTTACGACAAAACCCGTGGGTACCCATGAACCCGCGGATACCCAACGGATTGGGTTGGGTTTGAGTTTTTCAAACCCAATGGGTTTTACCCCGGGTTTTTTTCAAAGATAAACCCATGGGTTTGGGTTTGGCAAAACCCGACCCAACCCGACCCATTGCCATCCCTAATTGTGTAGAATGAAGTTGATGTTATGGAGTGGAGAGTAAAGAAACTTAATTGAAAGAAAGAAGCTTTCAATTAAACATGTTATTTATGGATAATTTGTGATTTGCTTCAATTTTCTTGAGTTTTCTAAATTGGTGTTGAACAATTTGTATAGTTAATTTGTGATTTGCTTGAATTTTCTAGAATGGTGTTTTATATATGGATAATTTGTATTGAGAGATTGATATTTGACTTTAATTTTCATAAGAACTTGTAATTGTAAATTTTTGGGCTAATACCACTACAACACCCGAACTATCCCGAAAATGCCACTTGTGTCCTATTTTTTCCAATATTCCATCTATGTTCTGAACTATTATACTTTGTGCCATTTGTGTCCTGCCGATTTTGTTGACCATTAAAGATAACGGTTGACCAAACGGTGGTCAAAGAGAAGTTGACTTTTGTTGACGTGGCAAAAATGTGGCTTCCACATAGATGCCACGTCATTGACACCTCATATTTTTAATTAAAATTAAATTAAAATTAAAAAATGTAAATTCAATAATATTATTAAGCCAAAATTTTAAATTTAACTTTTATTAATCAAAATAATTAAAAAATAAAACATAAAATCCTCATCGACCTCTTTCCCTTGTCTCTTCTCTGATCAATCTTTTGCCAAAAAAATTCTTCATACTCCTCAACTTTCTCCCCTTCCATAAGAATATCAAGCGTCTCCTACCAGCAACCCACAAATCCCGCACAGCATCCCCCGTCCCTCTCGACCTATTGAATTAAGCTTTTTAATTAGGCTTTGTAACTGACACAGAGTTCGTGTAGGGTTGTTGGAGCTGCCGGAATAGATTGGTTGTTTGGGGAATTTGAAGAGCTTGTATATCTCTGAGTTCATACTAGCGTAATCGGGTGTTGGACTTTTCCGTTCGAGTAGCAATTGTTCCTGCCGCCAATCCCGTCCAGATCCCCAAACTCAAAATTAGGGATTGCAAGCGCGCCGTCGTAAGGTCGGTTCCGCCGGGAAGCCTTCGCGCTGTCGAATGCCCCCAGGCAGAAGAGGAGTCCCGTGGGGAGCCAGAATGATAGGGCGGCGGCGTGGTCCCAGCCGCTGGTGGCAAAGCTTCACGAGAATTATCTCATGATGGGACAGGTGAGGAGATTAAAGAGCGAGGAATTATCTCATGGTGGCAAAGCTTCGATGGCAGCAACTCATCATCCTCCACCTGCAACTCCTCGACAAAATCGGTAATCGAGATCCAGAAACTCATCATCCTCCACCTGCCACTCATCATCCTCCACCTGCAACTCCAATTGCAGGCATCACAATCTGTTGTGTTCCTATTTTGGGGGGTTTGGTTCTGGGGATTTGACTTCTCTGAGATCTGTAATCGAGATCCACCGTTCGATGTCCGAACTCTGCTCCAGTGGCCACGACCAGGAGACCTTCGATCTCGCCAATTCACCAGATACGCGCACCATCTTCAGCTCATCATCAACCACCTCCTCCGATCCTCTCCGTCGCTTTCTGCTCCCATGGAGACCGGATGGAGAGGCATCTCCGAAGATCTCTCTGATGTTGCAGAAGCGATTTAAGCCTATAGGAAGAAGAACAAGATCAGTGTTCTGGTCCAGTTCCTGTGCTCGTCTGTTCTGGAGCCGAGGGTTTACGGTTGCTCATCTCTTCCAGGTAACGATTCAATCTTGGAGGGGAAGAGGAGCGAACGAAGATATAGAGTTTTTTTTTAGTTTTTTTTATAAATATTATTTTATATAAATACAGATTAAAAAATTACACGTCAGATGCCACATCAGTGCTGACTAGATTTTCTGTTAAAAACTAACGGTCAACAAAAGTCAACACTAACGGAATCATAGTTCAGGACATAGATGGAATATTGGAAACAATAGGACACAAGTGGCATTTTCGCGATAGTTCGGGTGTTGTAGTGGTATTAGCCCTAAATTTTTTACGACAAAACCCGTGGGTACCCATGAACCCGCGGATACCCAACGGGTTGGGTTGGGTTTGAGTTTTTCAAACTCAATGGGTTTTACCCCGGGTTTTTTTCAAAGATAAACCCATGGGTTTGGGTTTGGGTTTGGCAAAACCCGACCCAACCCGACCCATTGCCATCCCTAGTTAAGAGTGTGATACAAGATCCGATTTAAGAAAATAAAAGATTATAAAAAACATTTTCTCTCTCATGTGTATCCTTGTCAGAATGTCAGGCAAAAGAAAAGAAGGTAGGGAACTATCAGGAAAATGTCATTTGTGTCTCGAATTATTCAATATTATGTTTATGTCCCAACATATGATAGTTGTGTGTCATTTATGTCATGTCATGTCGATTTCGTTAATCGTTATTGATAATGGTTGACCAGATGATGGTCAACTTGATGTTGACATAGGAGCGGAATCGACGGAGCGATTAAGACGATTTGGTGTAAAAATTAAGATTTAAATTCCATATCAGATGCCCGTTGACACTGAATGAATTTTCTGTTAAATATTGACGGTCAAACTCGGTAAACACCAACATAAAAATAGTTCAGGACATGAATGTCATATTGAATATTTTGGGACACAAGTTACACTTTCTTTATAGTTTGAGTTTTCTATGTGAAAGAATTCAATCAGATTAAACTCTGATCAAACCATAAAAAATCGTTTACTTGATTGGCTCGACCACTTAAATCGATTTGACAACCTTTCAAAATAATAACCAATTCTGAAATTTAAGTTTTGGCCCGTGTAACCCATAATTAATATTAGCAGCCGTGAAATCCAATCAGCACTGCACTGGAAACGGATACGGCCAAATAATGAACATTCAAATCCGCTGAGCTCCGTCATCCTGCCTCCACACGCTAGCCAGTAACTCCCCAAACAGGCCGCCTTGCCTACATAAGCAGTCAGATTTCCCATTTCTCTCTTAATCCTTCAGAATCTGCCAGCTTCCCCTTCCTTCACATCACTTTCCCCCCAATTCGGAAGGAAGAGCTCGCAAAAAACCCCGCGAAAAATTCTTCAACCACCCCCGTCAACCCGCCGCCGGGGACGCGGGCCGCCTTCCGGCTCTTCCTTCTGCTCCTACCCAATTCTTCCATCTTTTACCACATATAGATATATTCTACATCTCTGCCCTAGTTGTTTTAATCAATTTCATCGATACCAAGGGCCCTGATTCTATCTGAGAAGAGTTGGAGTCCAGGGGAATATAATTGGGGTTGTGTTCCGGAGCTTGGGGAGTTTAGAGGAGGGCGAGCGGGAATAAGATTTTGATGGGGTTTCTGGTGGATTCGCAAAAGGATGGCGGAATCGGGTTCTTGGGAGGTTGCGTGAAGACTCTAATAAGGAGGAAACAGGTTGATTCTGCTGACGGCAATGTCCACGGCCACCACCAGTTGGCCAAGGAGCTGTCTGTTCTTCATCTCATTGCCATTGGTAATGCCTGAGTTTGGAATCCCAAAGCTTTTGTTTCTTTCCACTTTTTTGGAAGATTCAATTGGGACTTTTCTCCTTCTCGTTAATCTGTTTGTTTTTGCTTCATAGTTCATGATTCATGTCGATTCTCAAATGAGTGTGAATTTGCTTTGGATAAGGTTCTTGGGTTAGCAGCTCAACTTGGGTCATTATCCTTTTCTGTTTGGTTTAACTGCAGAGTTAATTGCGACTTACAGTTAATTGTGATGATGATGATCCTACTGAACTCCCTGTGAACTGCTCTTGGCTTGTCTATCCTTTTACTCCTTTACTGTGACGGATCCTTTTTATTTATTTATAATTGATTGTGTTTGATGTGCTGTTACTCTGCTAACTGACGGTGGTTACGCTTTGGATCAGGCGTTGGTTCGACGATTGGAGCTGGAGTTTACATTCTGGTGGGGACTGTTGCTAGGGAACACGCAGGGCCAGCACTTGCCTTATCTTTTCTAATCGCTGGATTTGCTGCCGCTTTATCAGCCTTCTGCTATGCAGAACTTGCAAGTCGCTGCCCATCTGCTGGCAGTGCCTATCACTACTCGTACATTTGTGTCGGAGAAGGGTAAGTTAAATAATCTTCTGATGTCTTGAAAGTTGTTTACTTATATATGGAACTTGCACAGTCAGTTCACTTCTCGATCAAAGTTATAACTTGTTTATATCGCATCATTTTGGCCTAAGTAAATATTCAAAAAAATGGTTGATGAGGACCCACAGTTCATGTGTAGTATCATGTTAATGTTTAGAGAATTCTTAAACAAATGATTTGATGAGGGTTTGCTGTTGATTAAGTTAGTTGCTTATCAAAGTCAGCGCTGGTTATGTTCTTTAGTAAATGCAGTTCCAGTTTGCATGTCAGTTTTCTTCTTTCTTGAAGTTTTAGTGATCTTACCAATAACCACTCTGATGTGCAGAGTTGCTTGGTTGGTGGGCTGGGCTCTGATTCTGGAATACACAATCGGCGGGTCAGCAGTTGCTCGTGGCATTTCCCCCAATCTGGTTATTTAACTTCACATGCTCAAACACTTTTGTTTCTTTGATTTTTCTTGCTATATTGTATCCCTCTCCCTGGCTATTAATAAGATGGCATGTGACACCGTTGTATACATTAATATAGGTATACTCAGTGCTTGAATTCTTGAAACTACTGTTATTCCGATCTTCATTTTGCTGTGAATTCTCAGAAGTCATTCCTAGTCCCATTAGGAATGAAAGGGAAATTTTTGGGTTTGATTGGGAGTCTTTAGACAATAGCATGTGGTTGGTCAGGATCAACTGTATCGGTTTTCAGTCAAGTTGCATTCACAATGTTTCCAGATCTATTAGCACATGTTGATTTTTTTTTCTTCTTCTTTTCTTTTAACTAACAGGTCTATTATTTCTTGTGGGCAGGCATTGCTATTTGGAGGTGAAGGCAGCCTTCCATTTTTCCTGGCACGTCAAGCGATCCCGGGGCTTGGTATTGTAGTGGATCCATGTGCGGCAATTCTTGTGTTTGTTGTCACTGGGCTCTTGTGTGTGGGAATCAAGGAGGTGTCCTTTTGTTCCGTCCTCTCTTTTCATTTTACAATTTTATTCCTACTAGTGTTCTTTGCTTGTAACTCAAAAATTCCTTGCTGCTTACAGAGTACTATGGTCCAAGGCATAGTGACCACCGTGAACTTATGTGCCATGCTGTTCGTCATAATAGCTGGAACTTACTTGGGCTTCAAGACTGGCTGGTCTGGATATGAGCTTCCTACTGGGTAAATAAATCTTTACAATCTATTCTAGGTTACATATGGTGGGTTATCATAATTTCCCACTAACCATATATTTCCAAATGAGCAGGTACTTCCCCTTTGGTGTTGATGGCATGCTTGCAGGTTCCGCCGTTGTCTTCTTTGCTTACATTGGTTTTGATTCAGTTGCCAGCACAGCTGAAGAGGTTGAAACCGCTCTCTTTTCTACGTTAGAGTTTTTTCCCCCTTCTTGATATTTGCCTTGTGTTTGCCCATGTATTAACTTTGTTTTTTTTTAACATTATGAACAGGTGAGGAATCCTCAACGTGATTTGCCTATGGGAATAGGGTTTGCATTGTCCATCTGTTGTTCGCTCTATATGCTGGTGTCGATTGTTGTTGTCGGTTTGGTGCCATACTATGCAATGGATCCCGATACTCCTATCTCATCTGCATTTGCTGCTCATGGGATGCAATGGGCAGTGTAAGTAATACATACTGGCTAAGCTCTTTTTTTAATGACTTTGGAGGTATTTGAAGTTTGTTTCTTACGATTGTTACTTCTGATTACAGTTACATCATTACAGCTGGAGCTGTCATGGCACTGTGTTCCACATTGATGGGGTCAATGCTACCTCAGGTAAATCTAGTGGAATAAATCTCTTAGGTGGGATAATTTTTTTCTGGTTTTTCCACATTGACAGAATTTGTAATTATTCCCTTCCTTTTTCTTATTGTAGCCTCGGATCTTAATGGCTATGGCTAGAGATGGATTGCTGCCATCATTTTTCTCAGATGTCAACAAAAAAAGTCAAGTTCCTGTGAAGAGCACTGTGGTGACGGGACTATGTGCCGCCACCCTAGCTTTTTGTATGGATGTTGATCAATTGGCAGGCATGGTATGTGGCAGTGTTTTAACCTACAGTTCCCATTCATGCCATAGATCTCTTTATGATAATGATTGTTGTATTTCTTGCAGGTCAGTGTGGGGACACTTCTTGCATTCACTATGGTTGCGATTTCTGTGCTAATACTCAGATATGTGCCACCGGATGAGGTGCCTGTTCCATCCTCACTCCAGGACACAATAGATAGTGTGTCATTGCATTACAACAGAATTAGTGGGGGTTCTACTAAGAAAAAGTCAAAGGCTCATGCCAGCATTTCCAAGGATTCTAAATTACCTTTGCTTGTTGGAAAGAATGCACCAGCGGACTATCCTGACCTTGTCAAAGAGGACCCTTCAGTTAAATGTAAGTTCCTCGTTCTCTTGCATGACACAGCTTTATTGCTTAACTGCTTATTTATGTATATCCAAATGTTTGATGTCAGCAGATGGAGTATGTGTAGCTATAATTACCCTCTGGTCCCCCAATGTTTGATTGCCCATAAATTTTATCTAAATGTAGAGACTGTTGAAGTTTTACACGCACAAGACTATAGACTTAATTTTATTTTTCATGTGTCATGTTTTGTTTATGGGTTCAGATGTGTTAAGTGAAGAGAAAAGGAGGAAGATTGCTGGCTGGACCATAGCATTCACATGCATTGGAGCATTCACCCTTACATACGCAGCTTCAAATTTGGCTATTCAGTGGTGGGTTGTGTTCCCTTGGTCCAGCATGCATACACTCATAACTCGTTGTGTTACCAATGCTTATAGTCAATGTTCAAGAAGACGCTAGGCGCTATCTAGGCGAGGAGGCACAGCCCAGAGCCTAGGCCGATTAATCGTTGCCTAGGCGGGATTAAACGTTGCAAAAAAATACGATAGATAAGCCATATTCCACAAAAATCCAAGTTGTCATATCATTATTCATCCATTCATATTCACATACAACCCTTTTCCACAATCCCAAACATCCCAAGTCGCCAACAATGAGGAGGGATCTCACTGCTGGTCGATGAAGGGGAGCGGCTGGTCGAATGGGTATGTGAAATAAAATAGGGTTTGGGATTTTCAAAAAAAGGCTACACTTTCCCCCTTTATTAGTTGTTATGGGCGTCGCCCACTAGAGTGAAAACGCGCCTCCGAGTGCCTAGGTGCCTAGATCAATCGCCCAGGGCTAGACGGGCAATTTCGTCCTGCCCAGCTATTAATCGCGCCTAGGCGAGAGATTAATCGCGTCTTCTTGAACAATGCTTATAGTTGCCCATGAAATTAGAGAAATGAGCTGATCTTATGTGTTTGAATTTTATATCATCAGGCTTGTTCGGTATTGCTTGTGTGGATTCGGTGGAGCTCTTCTCCTGACTGGCTTGGTTGTGCTGACATGTATAGAGCAAGATGAAGCAAGGCACAACTTTGGACATTCTGGAGGTATGACATCAATCACCCTACAAATATATATTTCAGGAACGCTACCTGCAGGAGTCATGATTCAGCAAATAGGAATAAAGGTTGACTCGAGGAAGCATTTCTATTACTTGCGTTTTTACTTGTCCGCTAATCTGACTTAGCGGATGCCATTCGGGTTGCCATAAATAGCTGCCTTAGGAAATGTAAGTCACGATTGATGCATTTGTTAACAATTTGTACCGTTTGGGGATGTCATTTTTTCTTCTTCAGGTTTCACATGCCCGTTTGTTCCTCTGCTCCCAATCTTCTGCATTCTGATCAATATCTACCTGCTCGTCAATCTCGGGTGAGTACTCCAATATTATGCTCATCAATGTTGATTTTGATTTTTGAGTGTCCAATATTATGTTTTCTGTTGCTCCATCCAACCTGAATATAAATTGGGCATGTTTCTTAAAATCTTGCAGTGGTGCCACATGGGCTCGTGTCTCTGTATGGCTGGCGATTGGCGTCGTAGTGTATTTGTTCTATGGCAGAAAACACAGCTCTTTAATGGATGCAGTATACGTGCCAGTGGCTCATGCTGGAGAGATATATGGACGAAGAAGCTCTGGAGATACTTTGGCTTGACGATGGATGGGTGGCTAAGTTTCGGTGATGGGAATACGGGCGTGGACTGTTCCCAGATGGAGCAGGACCTCTTTCTAAGCAACAGAATCTCTTTGTTGTACCAAAATTTCAATCTTGTAAGCATTAGAATCAATTTTCATATATTTTATTCTCTCTTCAGTCAACATATATATAGCAGTAGCAGAGACTGAAATCAGTTTCTCTTTGTAGTATATTCATTTCTGTATGACGAACTATAGGTACCCGGCGAACTAGGGTAATTCGGGAATATATAGATTGTACATATTTGTGGCAAGTTTATAAAGCATTGTTCTTCCACTTCTCTGAAAGCTTACAACTTCAACCACCACGGCCAGAACTCTTCCTGTTTATTTTCACAACTCTTATGCAAAATTCCCTTTTTGAAGCTTTGAGCAAAAGAGAATTATCTATGTGTAAAATTCAGTACTTACGTGGGAGAGGTTAGGGTGCTAACTTCATGGGAGTTAGCACCGTAATAACTGCTTTAATCACCGTTCATTTTTTTAAGTTGAATCCAACGGTGATAAGTAATGAAGGGTTTGTTCGGTATTTCACAAAATTAGAAATAATTAACAAATTAAAATATATTTTCTCTCATCTGTGTGTTTGTAATTTTTTTATCGAAAAAGATTTTGGGGTTTGATAGTAGTGTTTTTGAATTTAATTGTTATCTGTAGTAATTTATGAATTTTCTAGTAGCGATTTAATTATCATTAGCAGTGATTTAGGACTTTCCTTGTAGCAATTTATTTGTCATTAGTAGTGATTCAGGAATTTACTTGTATTATTTTATATTTCCTGCGTAGCAATTTTTATTGATTAAAATATGTAGTTTACCCAAGAACCACTGCTACACCATAAAACCTCAATCAGATCTGTAAAATTACTACTAATTAAACCAGAAAACGTTACTACAAATATGGAAAATCACTACTACATATAACAATTCTCATTTACGCGATCGATATTATTGTTAAATATGGAAATCCGCCAACGTAAAGAGATGCTTGGGGGAGAGCAGATCGATGCGGCGGCGTGGTGACAACATTCTCACAGCTGGAAGAGACCCGCCAACGTTGCAGAGATCCGTCAATTTTGATGGCTGGAAGAGATGAGACGGTAAGACCACGACGTTGCTAGGACAGATTTGGTAATCGACATCGATGCGCGCATGACGGCGGCGCTACGACGATCTTGCTTTAGACAGATATGGGATTAGTTGAGGGCGGCGAGGGAGAATGTCGTTGACGGCGGCGTTCTTGATTAGTAGTTCAGGATGGCAACCCAGAGAAAGGACGAAGGCGAGTCCGACGCGAGCGATGGCCAGGCTGGCGGAGGCGATGGCCTCACAGTGGAGACGGAAGAGGCAGGATAAACATACGAGGATCGAACTGCAACTGGTCCATTGGTGGAACATGACGGACAGGAGTGGCCAGTATGGGGTGAAGAATGAGATTACATAAGGGCACCCAAACAAGCATCTACACCAGCATATGGCATCAACAATGATCCGTATGTGGATAAACCAAGTCCTCTGTACACTAGCGAGGCAAGCGACGTGGAAGATGAAGAGTTAGAATCAATGAGTAGTTCAGATGGTGAAGATATGGAAGTTGATGAGGGGGAATTTCAGCCTCCCACACCTCACTACACGATGGTGCCACAACATCCTCTCTATGCTCACAACGACGATCCTGACCTCCCTCCTATACCTATCTGGACTCTTGATTCTGGATTCGTGGTTGGCCAAACATTTGGAGGAAAGCCTCAGGTGGTCGATGCATTGAAAGAAACTGCTATGCGAAGAAGCTTTCAATATCGTGTCATTACTTCTGACACTAAACAAATTCATGTTCGTTGCGAGAACCATGGCGACGGATGCATGTGTCATGTTCGGGCGACATATGTTAAAAGAAATGGGGCTTGGCTCATTCGTAAGACAGACAACAACCACACTTGTAGGTCATCACTGATTTCTCTAGATCGTCGACAATTGAGTGCAAGGAAGGTTGCACAAACAATCAAACATCTAATTGAGGCACAACCTGGGATTACCGTGAAGAGTGTCATCGCTGAAGTGAAGAATCGACATGGCTATACCATTAGTTACAAGAAAGCATGGCATGGGAAGCAAGAAGCTATGGCAGAGGTGTATGGCGATTGGGAAGAGTCATTTGCTAACATGCCTCGTTTGATTCTTGCAATGGTGGACAAGAATCCTGGGTCTGTTTTTGTGCCTAGTTACGAAGATTTCTATGGGGGTGCCAAACGCGTGTTTAAGCGACTATTTTGGGCATTCAAATCATGCATTGATGGTTTCACCCATTGTCTGCCAATAATCCAAGTTGATGACACCTCTCTGATCGGCAAATACAATGGCACTCTACTCGTTGCCACTAGTGTTGATGGCAGTATGCAACTTTTCCCGCTTGCTTTTGCTATAGTCGAATCGGAGAACAACTTAAGTTAAGCATGGTTTTTTTCCCAACTATACACTCGTGTCACTCAACAGAAGGACATTGCCATACTTTCTGATCGACACCATGGAATCAATGTAGTCAAAAGCAAGTTTCTACGTAGAAACGTTATGGTGGTCTAGAAGCGTAAAATCGTAAGTTTTTAAGTTTTAAAGCGGAGTTTTTAACTACATAAGTTATAAAAACTGAGATATTGTGTAGAAGCGTTTTAGTGACCTAGAAACGTAAAATCGTAAGTTTTTAAGTTTTAAAACACGATTTTGACTACATTGCATGGAATTGCACATGCTTCTACGACCTGCCCGAGGAGCTAGGGTGGAAGTGGCGCTGGTGCATACGACATTTCAAAAGCAATTACGAGAAGCACTTTGGTAGAACTTATGGACAACGTGCAGTTTGGCACGCTGGTAAGAACAAATAAGATGTTGTGATTATATCAATTGGTTGAATGCGTATACTCCTTTACTCACCTTATTTTGCTTTATTGTAGTTATTGCTTTTCAGACTCGAAAGTTTGTAGACAAAATGAAGAGCATAAGGGAGGTCCACTCTGAAGGTGCAGATTGGCTAGAAACTCATCCTTTTGAGAGGTGGACGTTACATCAAGACGAAGGGTATAGGTATGGAATGACAACAACGAACATGGGTGAGTGCCTCAATGGTTTGTATGTTGGTCTTCGTGCAATGCCTATCTCATCTATAGTCTTGCATACCTTCTTTCGTACGGTGACATGGTTCGTTGAACGCTACCAAGCAGCATATCAGATGCTGAATGCTGGAATCTACATCCCAAAGAAGATTACGGATGATATGAAACCATGGTCGGAAAGGGCAAAATGGTATAAGGTGACTTTATTTAGTCGAAGAGATTCCCGCTTTGCAGTAGTAACAAGAAGTGGACCAGATAGTTCAAAGGGTGGTAATGCTCAAACAGTCATACTGGATGCAAGGAATGGAATAGGAGAGTGTACTTGCGGGAAGTTTCAAGGGAGACACCTGCCTTGCTCTCATGCATATGCAGCAGCGAGAAGCGTTAATTTGGACCCTTTGATATGTGTTAGTCCATACTACAAGACTCCATACGTGGTCAGAGTTTGGGAAGGGTCGTTCTTTCCCTTAGCTCATGAAGCATATTGGCCCCAGTATGATGGACCTGTAGTGTACCCTCCCGAGCACATGAAGCGTACCAAAGGTCGACCTAGAGTTAACCGAATTGCAAATGAATTGGATAGATCAAGGACACAGCGACGCCGCCCGAAGAAGTGCTCTGCATGTGGAGTTGAAGGGCATGATAGGCGCCAGTGTCTAGGGCCATCGACTCACAATTGAAAGTTTATGTTGTAATTTGAATTTTATGTTGTGATTTAAGAACTTTATGTTGTAATTTGACTTTTATGTTGTAATATTAATTTTATGTTGTGATTTATAACAACTTAACAACTCTAGAGAAATAGAACAACTTAACAACGTCATTAGAAATAGAACAACTTAACAACTCTAAAGAAATAGAACAACTTAACAACGTCCTTAGAAATAGAACATGACAAGAACTCTAAAGAAATAGAACAACTTAACAACGTCATTAGAAATAGAACAACTTAACAACTCTAAAGAAATAGAACAACTTAAAAACGTCATTAGAAATAGAACATGACAAGAACTCTAAAGAAATAGAACAACTTAACAACGTCATCAGAAATAGAACAACTTAACAACTCTAAAGAACACCTCACTCTTGTGCACCACGTCCGTGTCCCTCTCTTCGACGTCTATTCCTTGAACGAACTCCATATCCAATTCCAGTATTTCGTGGCAATGGAGGTGGGGTTGCAGTGGCTGGAGGACCATAATAAACATTTGTCATCGGAGTCTGGAAGCTTTGCTGCGGGGTTTGGAATTGATGACCATACGATGAAGCATAGTAGGCTCCTCCTCCCCCTCCTTGAGCAGGACCTGATGATCCCTCTCCGAATTTCCTTATGACTGGAGGGAATCCATACTCGTATGGGTCAGGAAGTGCCACATCTTCTCGTACTTGCACAGGGACTGTAACTGGCTCTTGCCGACGTTTACTCCTCCTTGGTGGTGATGGCGGGAGAGATTCAACTTCAATGGCGTGGGAGGAAGGACGTGGCGGTGCAGGTGCAGGAGGATATTCAACTCCATATCCAATTCCAGTATTTCGTGGCAATCGGGCTTAGCCGCAACCACAGAGCATATTTTTTTCTTCAAGAGTGGTGGGAGGAAGAGAGGAAGAAGAATGGAGTGGTGTGAGTTTTGGTGGAATGGGAGGGGGTATTTATAGGATCTCTGGGAGAGTGGATCGAGTTTACAGAACTCGAACCAGTGCATCGATTTTGGGGCACTCGATCCGCGTCAAAAGCAGTTCGTGGTTAGGTGCATCAAAAGATCCAGATCGAGTTTAGGGTACTCGATCAACGGTTGTTCGCGCCTGACGTCATCGATCCGCGTCAATTAGATCGACTACCACGGACTCGGTCTACTGCATCGAGTTTCACCAACTCGATTCGCGTCATCCCTGCTTCGCGGGTTTGGTAATCGAACGGCCTAGATCGAGTTTAGAGTACTCGATCAACGGTAGTGCGCGCCTTAGGTCATCGATCCGCGTCAATCAGATCGATTACCAATGACTCGATCTACTAACATCGAGTTTCCCACACTCGATCCGCGTCATCACTGCTTCGCAGGTTGAGCAATCGAACGGCCTAGATCGCTTCCCGGTACATCGATCTAGAGTGGAGCGCTGCCCAGGTCATCGATCCAGGTCTTGCAGTTCGAGTCTTCCTTCCTCGATGCACGTGGATCGATTTGT